GTTCCTTTTAGTGGGTAGAACCTACTGGCGAAGTTAACACGCTCAGTAGAAACTCATCTGTATATATGAACTGAACGGTTGGTGTTTTTAGCGTAGAGGACATCAAAAACAAAAAAGTAAATTGGTCCTGTTTCTAGGTCTTACCATGAGTAATAGAATAGCTTATTCCCTATATGGGAAATTCGCTAAAAGTACACAAAAACAAAAAAGAATGCTTAACCTTATCTTTTAACCAAACCTTATACCATAGGTTAATGAAAAACTGTACAGTCACATACATTTTGCATACATTACATTATGCAGTTATACATTATTCTTACTGTACATATTTGTTTATTTTTGTACATTTAAATGCTACAATACGGTCTTGCGCTCAATTACTCTGCAGCATAATATAAATTCGCATAACAGATACTTTGTGAGACACATGTCATTATGTCTTTTTATCTTCATCTTTCAGGCAACAACACAATATTAAATCAATAATTTTTTACTTAAACAACAAAATAAAATTTTCTAATATTGAGAACAGAATTTGCAAATATTGTTAAGTTTGCTATTCAACCAAGTCTTTTCTATTAGCATGTGATGTTAGTCCCTTTCTGCCTTTCAATAAATTACGCAAAATAACAAAAACAACGAAAGTAAAAAAGCATGAGAAAAGGCAGAAGGGAAGCAAATTTAATTAGGCTAAGTAATTATGTTAATCTATCGCATTTCACTCGCATTCATATATCACTTTTCGTTCATCTATATTCTCAATCTTTCAATATTGTATCATAATGTGAGCATGTCAACCCAGTAAAAATGGTGTAACCATAAATAAATACATAAATAAACACATATAGTTAATAGATGGAACAAATGTCGCGAGATACATGTATAACCTTTTCTATTTTTTCTCAGGTCTTTGAATTTTTAAACAATGGGTGGAAATGGTTTTGTCATGTTCATGTTTTTCATTTTTTTCTTAAAAAGGCAATGTAAATTTTATAAGCTGGGAATCGTTAATAATCATAACCCAAGTAATCTTTTTTTTTTTTACCCATCATCTGGCAAACGACTAGTCACTAGTCGTTTGAGCATCAATTTCTTTAACTGCTAAGTTTAATGAAAACACCACTGTATTAGATATTGCTTTATATCATTTTACACAGGAGATTCTAACATTTATTTTGACATATAGTTTGTTTAGTTACCGTGATATAACAATATTTTGAAAAATAAAAACGTAGAATGACGCAACTACGTGTTTAGCATGATGTGATGTAAAATTCACTCTTATATTGTTTGCACAAATAAAAATGAATTTTTTACTTTTTTCATGTAAAGAACAATTTTCTAAAAGTGTTGTACGTACATATATTGTATTTTCAATAAAAAAATCCTTTGTATTTTTCTCAAGCTACTTTGGAAAAATTGTACAGGCCAATTTTATTTTTGTTTGCTCCTACAAGTAAACAGTTGTACAGAATTTTTTGGGATCTGTCAATGGTTTAATTTTTTTCCTTTTAATGTTCTAAAAAAGAAAATATATAATAGTATATACTTCTGTATGGTAGAACACAATTTTTACAGCTCTAAAGTAACCTATGTACATACAGTAAAAAATGGCCTGCCAGTACAGAAATTTTTAGCTGCCAGATGGGGGTTAAAGAAGTGGGATTTTTTAACTCAAGGACAATTTTCCAAAACTTGTTTGCAAATCAATCCTGAGATGGTAAAATGGCTCTGAATATTCTGTTAGATTAAAATACAAAAATACAGTATATATTTTAGGTAAAGTGTTCCCAAATTAATACGTATACAAAACAAAATTTGTGATTAAATCTCTGGTCATGTTTTTTTTTAAACTCGTGTATGAAGAATAGCATAGTCTTTCAATTGAAGACAATTTAAATCTAAAGATTTTTGAAATCAGGTTGATTGACGTCACAGCTGCAGGTGTGATGTTCAGCTCTTAACTGGTTAATCTAAATATAGTTGATCGACTTTGTGTAAGAATGTAGTCCAAGGTGGTACATTTGTGTTTATGTCAGCCAAGCAAGAAGAAGTGCAGATACTGTTAACAGCTGTTACAAGTGTGTTTGTGCATTTTATGTTAACACTTCTCACAATTGTTATGATAATTGATAATTGATGGTTACCGAACACAACCAATAAGAGATAGTGTTAAGATAACTATCACTAGCTGAAATTGTATAAAGAACGTATCTTTAGGCAGAGCTGTTATGTGCAAATGCTTCAATCATCTGTATCTAAATAGAAAAATCAGTTTTAGCGAATTTGGGAATAAACTATTACCGTAGGTCTCATGGTAAGACCTGGACCCGGGACCGATTTACTTTTCGTTTTGGGGTCTCCAGAGGCCAAAAACCCCATCCGTGTTCACGTTCTTATATATTATATGGGATAAAAATGTGGTTTTCCCATTTTTCACCCTGAAAACATAACATTTTTCAATCTCTTTCCAAACCATTTTGCAGAGCTCAAAAAAACAAATAATTTAGTATATTGAAGCATTGTTGTATGCCTAACGGTCAAAGAAAAAATTCCAAAAAGTGTAAATTAAAAATTATCATAATAATCTTACGGATAATAAATCAACTGCTGTTGTAGCTCTAACTTTTATTTTTGCTCTAAATAAATAAACTGTTGCTTGTCTATGGACATTTTTTAATGAAATTTGGAAAATGTGTTTACTTCATACCAAGCTATCATTCATCATCATATTTCAATAGAAACACCTCATTGTCTTCCCTCTAGCAGCAACCTAAGTACTCATTAAAATTAATGCTATTTAAATAGGAAATAAATCTGAAAATTTTAAGGGAATAATTTAGTGGAATTCCAGCCAGGTAGATGGAAATTTGCTTAGTCTGCAGGTTTGCTGCGGCGGGGGTATTAATATTTTGTTGTTGAATCTGAACATAGAGTTCTTGTAGGGAAATGAACATGTGTGTACAAACAAGATTAATTACCAACAAAGTTCAAATGATAAAAGCTTTAACAGGTCAACTAACTCAGTTATCCAATTGAAGTCAACAGTATTAGATATGTGTGATTTAGGAACCATATGCCATATCTAAAAGATTAAGGCATATTTGTAAGAACATTTTTGTTACAAATCTAAATTCAGAACAGTTAAATTTGCATCTTATTAGATTGAACATTTTGTTGACTATCTCAATAAATCATTAGAAGTAGTAATAAAAATTAATAATTATTCTATTGCACATTTGTTATACCCCTTTAGAAATTCCACAAATGAAAATTTGTGTTCACATCGTCAGTCAATAGTAGATTTTATTTTCAGATATAGACAGAATAAAAAGCTTACTCTATGCCAAATGTTTAATGGTTAAACGTATCACCAAATATAAATAAGGTATACAATAATTTTCTAAACTACTAAAAATAAGTTTTAATTATTGCAATAAAAATATTAATTAATTTTCTATGCACTCGGGTACAAATTTTAATGTATAGATGAGTGGTTGATTTGTAATGAAAGAAGTAATTAATTAATTCATCGTTTTGTGACTGACTAACACCGGCTCTTTTTTTAGTCCAAAACATTATTTATTAAGGGACCTTTGTAATTTTTCTAAAACAATTAGTTCATTCTAAATACGCAGTTTTGTAGCTGTAAATTAATCAATATTTTATATTGTCTCATTGTCATCAAACTTGTAATCAAACATTTTGCAAGAGAATTACTTTTTGAACAAAATAATTGTAGCTCTCAAAAAATACTATTTTTGGCATTTTAAAAACAAAATGCTTGCAGAGAGAAAGTTTGTAATTATTTTCACTTTTGTGTTCATACAACTCAATTTGAAGGTTTCATGCTTTGTCAAAGTCTACTAACGTAGTGTGTACTTATCTGATGACGGTTACGACAAGTTTATCAACAGCTTGTACTCACGAGGGATCTGACGTCCAACATGTGTGCTCGGGAAGAAACTGATCCAACAATAGCTCAGCCTCTGTTGGCCAGGGTCAGTTAATCCGACGTCAACCCTACCAACACTTTTTGTTTTGTTTTTTGTTTGTTTTGCTAAACGTGCACTGCTTCTCATGTTTCCCATTCATTTAGAATACATACGAAATGATGATTGTTGTTATTTATCTGTTTCTTAAAATATGTTTACTAATTAAATAAAGTTTTAAATTTAATTTTAATTTTATTATATCATTCCATGTGTGCTCCCACATCAGTTTTAATTGGCATCATGAATATTGAACTATCAAATAATATAAACTAGAGATTGTCCAGAGATCGAAAACTCAACCAAACCAACTCAACCATGTACAGGCATCTCTATTTTCACCCTACACTGTAAATAAAACATGTTATTGGAATTTCTTTAATTTATTTTGATTTTCTGTTTATATTTTGTCGTTATTTTGTCACAAGCATGGCAACCCAGAGGCCCATGTAATTTTTTTTAAATTTTAAACTCCTTTTTATTTGCGTTTATTTTTTAGCCTATTTTAATTTATAAAGGGATTCTGCACATTTACAGGAAAATATCTTTCTAACAGTATGCGCTGATTTTTCCTTGAGTGAGTAGAAGGGTCTTGCGATCAGCCACTCGTTTAACTCCTGGTGTAGCTTGTTGCCAGTCAGGTAGATGGTTCTTCATTTTGCGACCAGTGTAGGAAGGGTTTTTTCCCAGAGAGTGGTTCGGTGAACTGGTAGGACGAATTTTGGAGCCATGACAAGTGTTGTAGTGGTGCAGGTCTTGGTTTCTTAGGGGATTTATTTTATCCACATAGGCCTACTTTATGGTTTCAAGTATGTAGAGAGCCACTGTGAAGATTTCTGTGAAAGCTGCTCTGCAAGTCTGTGGTGGGAAAAGGTTGGCGAGGTCTCTTCTGAAGAAGAACAACAAGAATTCAAGCCATATTTTTTGCTGAAACATATACTCCTAAGCATTTTTTGCTTAGGATATCTATGTTAATTTATCTTCTTCAGCAGCTTTTGTGTTGTGTAGATGATACCAGAGAGGAGGTAGTGTCAGCCCTCTACAATGTACCAGAATGGACCGAACCACATGTTGTCATCGCAAGACATCTTTGCGTTGCTGCTCAAACCGCTGACTTTGTGGCCAAAACATTACAACTCCTGCTGTCTCTTACCACCAACAACTTTACCAGGTTGGATTTAATTGATGATTAAGTATCATTTCAGTATAATTTAAGGGTTATTTTAAGCCTAAATCAATTATATTATAAAAGTGATACAGTCAAACGTTTGGTCATCATTTAAGGCATTTTATCAAATAAAAGTAATAGGCATATGGCACATCAAAATGAAGCTGAGAGTAAGTAGATTTGTTTAATAGTATTGGTATGAACAAATTTCCTATGGGCTCTGTTACAGTGTTTTTAAACACATCAGCGCAGCGCCGCTCACTGTAATGGCTGCTTGGTAAATTTAAACCCCTTATCCTAATATACAAAAATAATTTTACTTCACTAAGTGGTAAAATTAAGTTTAGATTCTAATATAAATAATAGTAATAGATGTGTAACCATTTTTTATAGAATTAAAAAAAACAGCATTTAACTCTTCCTGTTGTGAAACACATGTATCAACTCAAATAAAATAAAAGAATTATTTTTTTTTATTTCTTTTGAATGTATTGTATAGCAGCTCGTTTAAACATTTATAATATAGTTAATGTTTTTAATGCTTATGGTACTTTGATCCTGAATCACCAGGGTGAGAAGCTTAAGACAAAGATGAAAGGGTGGGTGTAGAATGAATTGCGTGAAAATGTTACAGACAAAGATTAATTAATTCTCTGCTCTGTTTACAATTTTGTAAAAAAATATAATAATCAATGACAGGTACTTTAGTTTGTTAATACAGATTTTGCAGTAAAAATATTTATTTTTACTAATTCTTTTGTACAAAATCGAATGGATTAATACAAGCTGTTTGCCCTAAAATTTAAATGTCAATTTGTAAAAATCCTTGACAAACAACAAACCATCAAATGATGTATGGGTTCTTCAGCTAACCGGTAAAGTTAATTCAAGTTGTGAAAATAAATTTCAGTAATATGGACTTTAATTTATCTGGAAATACTGTCTAAATTGACAAATTAAATATCTCTTCTCCACAATGCTAAATCCAATAATTTCAATTAATAAATATGATAGTTTAGCATTTGCATGTCTAAAATTTTAAACGTTTCTTATTTATTCATCAAAATAAGTGGAAAACAAATCCATGGACCAACTCCAAATCTAAGGAAAAACAATAATTTTGTGATTTTTTACAGTGACATTTTGTTGCTGTAGTTTAAAAAATGAATTTCTTGTGTTTTTTTGTAAATTAAATATATAACTTTAAAGTTGTCTATAAAATCAGTTATCGTTAGGTAATTTAATGCTCATTCTTTTTAAAACTCATGACTTAAACCTTTTCACATAGATATGTTCAGAATTTCACAAAATGCACATGAGCTACAATGTACTGTAAACATCATAGCAGACCTGTCAAAGTCGAGGAACGTTTAAATTAATTAACCCATTGTTGACACAATTGTCAAACAAGATTGTTACAAGTGATCAGATGGTCACTGGGGGACTGGGGTGTGAAGGCCACGTAATCAATAACAAGACGTTGTTTGATAAGTGATGAATATCAGTTGTAGACCGAGCCTCGCAAAAACTGACCTCTCACATTGCACGTTACTGTCATTGAGACACATGTTATGTGATTACCTTGTTGTGGTAGGGCAAAACAAACTCAGACTACTTCAACTGTTGATAAAACATAAGAGGTTAAAAAAAACATTAATTAAAATTAAAACTTTGATGATTTCCTTTGGAACACTAAGTTATAATAGGTTTGAGATATGTATGAGGTCAAATTTCAAACACGTAACCCAATTTAAGTTCACAAGTCAGTAAAATTCCAAACTTGTTTGCCATATTACAGATATTTTAGTTAAAGTTTAGTAAACATTTAGTCTTTTAGTCTTTTACTTAACTACTTTTTTAAAGTTTTTAAACAATTAGAAGAAGGTTATGTCATAAAAATAAATCATTGTGAATATTTTTTTCAGAAACTATCATATTAGTTGGTAAAAAATACAAAAAGTTGCATAAAGTCTCTATTATAGGTGTTAGTCAAAATCCTCCTGCTATTGTTAGATTACATTATGTACACCAAAATATTGAATTTGAAAAAAAAAATTGTACGATTTTAATCTTGGTACCTTTCTCTCTGTTCTATTTACTAACAACATTCAAATTCTAATCAAGTAATGATTTTTAAAAGCAATTTAACAGGTATAATACTTGTGCTAAAAATAACAAATAAAAGCATGAAAATAGTGATAAATCTGGAATAAATCTTATATAATACGATAGTAACAATCTATTGGCAGCTTGTATAACCTTAAAATAATTTTAATCTAGTTTTATATATAACAAAAGTAATAACCAAAGTAAGTGTATAATCTTGAATGAATTTTACTTTAAATGCATTTTTTTCAAGCAATGATTCAGTAAGCAGTGTATGAGAGCTTACATACACCCCTGGTAATTACTGATTTGACAAATTAATGATGAAGTAGGCAGCATGTGAAATCTTGAATGAATTTAATTCCAGTTTAGATAATTCATAAAAGTAATAAACATTGAGTATCGTGTATTATCTTGAATTAATCAACCCTAGTTACATATCTTATAAGAAAGTAATGATCAAGAAAGCCAAACTTATTCAACTTAAGTATGCTTATTTTACATACATAAATAATGATGTGATCAAGTAAGCAGTGCATTCAACTGCAGTATACATATTTTACGTCAGCAATGATGAGATCAAGTAAGCAGTGTGTATTGCGTGTGTTGACTTACACAGGTAGTTAGTGAAGGAGTGTGCTAGGTTTGGAGGCATGGTGACCACTGTCACTACTGTTACTGTGTGCGGGTCAGGGGTCAACGTGGGCACAATCAATAGAGGCCGTACGACCATGCAGTAGTAATGAAATCATCCTTCATACCCTTCACAACTCTGCTCGTTTGTCAGTTTTGTTACCAGTTGACATGTGTGCTTTTGCTTTACTTCAGGACAAAACCCCGCTTTTGTGATTAATTTCAGTCTCAACAATGTGCGTTGTCAGTTAGTCAATATAGTTGGCTGACAGCAAAATTAATGTTTGGGGAACATGAACGTTTGGGTTGGAAACGTCACAAGAAAATTTATGGATTGAGAAATAAGTAATAAATGTAAAAGGTGGTAATGTTTCACTTGCTTTCAAGGTGTTTTGTAACTAAAACCTTTACTTTTGTAAATCGATTTTAATAATTTCTTAATCAATGTATTTAGTGCTATTTTTAAAAGTTTTATACTTATCAATCAGGAAAATGGTTTTAAAAAAGTTTTAGGTCATGGGTTAGATCATGAGAATAAATAATTTGTTGGTTGCATTTCAATTTTAGATGTTATGAGTATAAACAGTAATTTCTAGATAGAGAAACCATAGTGAAAAATTTGTTGGTTGGAAATACAATTAACGTTTAAATTATTTTTTATAAATTTTTTTTGTTGCTGACCAAATTGATGGGTTTTAACAGTTGCTATAACTCACAATAATTCATTGCATTAGTTTATCTTGTTAAAAAAGTTCATATATTTGACAGAAATCAGTAATTTAATTTAGCACAATCTGTCAGTGGCTCACATCGAGTAAGACAATTTAGGTTAAAAATCTGGCGACAAATTTAACATTGGGATGGAATTTCCAGTTGTATCAACAGTCAAATATTATAGTTTAAATATTCTAAAATAGTTTGACACAAAATTTTTCTTTTCAGTGCTAAGACAGTGTGTGGTACATTAAGGACAGCTCTGGAAGGTTTCAAATCCCCAGAAGAAGTTGAGTGGAAACCAGTAGTCAAGTCTGAAGAGTGGATGCAATGGGTGCGGCTGTCTCTGAAGCTGGGAGAAAACCCTGACGAAGACAACAGTTTCCTACTGACTACCCTGGCGGCCCTGTGTGACGTCGTCTACTCCAAGGATCACCAGGGAGTCAAGACTATCACGGAGATGGTTCTGTCCCACTCTCAGTTCCTCACAGTGATGCTCGGCAAACCAACTCCAACCAAAAGTAAGTGGGTAATTTCCACATCAGTATCAATAGGTTCAACATTCTTTCTTTTTCTAGAGTAAACACTTATATTTACACAATGTCAAAATTAACGTTTTTTATTGTTTCTGTTATAAATAAAGCACTTTTTTATGTTTCACCCTCACATCCTAGGACGTGTAGGTTCTAGCACGGAACTGTTTTAACTTTACTTCAGGCAAGGCCAAGATGGTTGCCCTTGCCGCACCATCACTTGGATAAAATCCATTATTGATTGGTGGAAATTGAAGTCCGGTGCTCTTCCACTAGACCTGCTCGCTCCCCAAAAAATGAAGAATAGAAGCTGCATAGTCCTTACATTCTTATAGTGAAACAATTATTGTATGATTGCTAATTGCCGTAACACAGCCTAAATGCCTTGAAGTAGGTGAGCGGCATCCTTATAAAAGTCAGTAACTTTTTGATGTTTGAAACCTAATGCACCTAATGTACCTAATGTATATGTATATATTGTAAACATTTTTTGGAAATAAAGCAGATTTGATTTGATTTGATTTTAATGCAGCTGCCCTTGATGGGCTTTAAAAAATGGTTCTTGTCTACATAATTGTCTGGGCTGGTGTGTCAGCATTAATTTACGGCCAATTGGCACCTGTGTATATTCAACAAGACGTTTAGGGTAAGGATAAGATTCTTTTGGTTGTAATGAAATCAAACTGACTTACTTGAAATAATAGCTTTCAAATAATATGAGAGGAACTAAAACTCTTGCTCTCGTGCTGAGTACTTCACTCAATTATCAATTGCAAAAATTTAACCTTAAAAAGCGTCATACTTATGGTTGGAAAAATGAGTATGTTAGGTTAGCTAAATAATAAATAACAACATTCCATCTATAATTACATCCATTTGACTAATTGGTATGCAAAATAGTTTTGCCGTGTGTGCCTTGTGACGGAAGAAAGGTAGGTAATAAGTGCAATAGACTTCAGCTTCAACAATGTATGTTTATTTGCAAACTACAATGTGTTTTGTTATCAGCCGCACTGCTAGAACTGCTACTGAGTCTGCTGAGGCTAGACTCGTCTGTGATGGTCTCCACTCATGTACCTGTACTACTGGCTGCATACTCTGCCTCACTCAGCACAACAGATCAACTCATACTGCAGGTAAGATGTTTGTCAGCCTCTCTTAATCTTGCATTCGTCTGTCACATGGACCTCAAAAGTCTGTACGGCTTCATTGAAGGGAAGTCAAACTGTCTGTATAATTTAATCCATTCAGTATAGTAACCTCGGGCATAACCAACTCAAACTCGGAATATCCGACATAAATTACACATATCAACACAGTTGTGTGAGCAGCTTGAAAATCGAACTGAGCCGATCTTTGCCTACGAGTCAGTTTTCATCTCCTCGATTTTTTCCTAGTACGAATTAAATTATGGCATAATAAGTTATTTTCTTGCTCTAAATTTCCTGTGAATCAAGGATTCATTTATTTTTGTATTTTTGATTAATCCAATAAATTATATTAACAAGTAAAAGAGTTCAACTGAGGTAACTTATTTTACAGCGCGCTGCGCCGGTTTTGTTAGGCTGGGTTATCATAAATATGTTTTTAGGACTTTCCTCGTTTCGTTATGAATGAATCGAACGATGCTAGATGAGTCTTACTTCCTATTTATGATAACCTAACCTAACATAACCAACTGCCGCAGCACACTGTATAAGGGTGGCCTCCGTATACCAAAGTACCTTTGTTTTGGGGTTTTACTCACATTACAACACAGTCATTTCATCTGCACCACAGATATCAGTATCCCTTCACTGAAAACTTAGTGAAGGTCACAGTCTTATCTGCTAGTTACCACAGTGTGTGGTCATTGATATCTATTAAGTGATATGATTTGAAATGAAATGAAATGAAATGAAATATTACTTTATTATCACAAAACATTTCACAGATCCAGCGTTAGCTGGTGAAACAGGTGATATTGTCAGAGATCTTAAACACTAAGTTACATAACAAAACTAAAATCCACATAGCTTAAACTAAAATATATTTACTTATCATTTAAATAATCGGAAATATTATAATAATTTTTCTGTAAAAGGTATCGTTTGAAATCATTTTTAAATTTTGAAATACTGTTAATTTCTTTAAAATTAGTGGGTAGACTGTTGTAAAGCCTTAATCCCATATAATAAGGAGATCTTTCATATAAACAAAGGCGATGTCTTGGATATTGAAAATTTTTTGAGCGTGTAAGATATGGATGACTGATTTGTTTATCATTGTACATTTGATAATTAATTTTAAAATTCACCATCATTTTAAATATATAAAGTGAAGGCAAAGTTAATATCTCATATTTAGCAAATAAAGCTCTGCATGAGGTTCTTTTAGGCATAAATGATAAAATCCTTATAAATTTCTTCTGAATTTTGAAAACTGCTTTAGAATAAGAAGTTGCTCCCCATAATTCAATCCCGTATTGCAAGACAGAAAAGAACATAGCATAGTACACTGTGAGTTTAGTTTTTAAATCTATTACATTTCTCAAAACATACATTTGAAAGCAAGCCGTATTTAATTTACCAACTACCATTTTTATGTGTGTTTTCCATGTTAAATTTTTATCGATATCTAAACCCAAAAATTTTGCATTTTCAGTAAAGGATATAATATTATTATCATAAGATAATTCAACAGTGGAGTTTTGCCTATTCTGAATTGTTTGAAATAACATCACCTGTGTTTTAGAATTATTAAGTTTTAGCCCGTTGGCTGTAAACCAATTAGATAAATTAAGAATAGAAAGACTGATTTCTTGTTTAAGATTTTGCAAATTATTTGATTTAACTATTGCTGTAGTGTCATCAGCATATAAGATAAGGTTAGACGATACATTTCGAGGTAAGTCATTTATAAATATTAAAAATAGCAAGGGGCCTAGTATTGACCCTTGCGGAACCCCACATTTAGTGTTAAGCCACTGTGAAATACATTTTTTACCATTTTTTACGATTATCGTTCTTTGATGTCTGTTAGTCAAATATGAATGCATCCAAGACAGAGCCATATCAGAAAATTTATACTATTTAAGTTTACTCATTAATATATTGTAATTTACACAATCAAATGCCTTGGATAGATCACAGAACACCGCAGCTGTGCTCTGAGACCCATCCAAGCCATCAGAAACCTGATTTATGAAATCTAAGACAGCAGATATAGTGTTTTTCCCAGATCTAAAACCATATTGTTTATTGGTAAATAAATCATTATTTTCGAAATATGAATAGATTTGGTTGTAAGCAATTTTTTCAAAGATTTTAGACAAAGATGGGAGTATTGAAATAGGACGATAGTTATCAGGGTCCATTACTGAGCCTTTTTTGAAAAGTGGTTTCAGCTCAGCATTTTTTAATTGATAGGGAAAAATTCCTTCATCAAAACATTGATTGATTACTAGACACAGAGGCTCTGCAATATGGTTTATGACATTTTTAATTAATTCAATAGGAATTTCATCCCATCCAGAAGATTTTTTATTTTTTAAATTTCTAACGGTTTTTTTAATTTCTAAAATCGATACATGTCTGAACTGAAATTTCATTCTTATATTATTAGGCCTACTAGTATTATTAATCAAATTAGTTGCAGTGTGTAAGCAAGGCATACAATTTATATTTTTGTAAATGTTACAAAATTTATCATTGAGAAAATTTACCACATTTTGTCCATCTTTTAATTGCTTGTCTCCGACACACAAATCAGGGAAATCCAAATGATTGGAATTCAGGACTCCAAGTTCAGACTTCACAACATTCCACACCGCTTTGCTCTTATTATCTGAAGATGATATAACTTTACAATTAAACATTTTCCTAGCCTTATCGCAAACAGCTTTAAAAATTTTTCTATAGTTTTTGTAATACTTTTTAAAGTTAACATCTTGAACCGTTTTGGCAATAGTGCTTAACTCTCTTTTTCTCTGACTTGATATTTTAATACCTTTAGTCACCCAGCTTTTCCTATATTTATTTTTGGGTGGTTTGTTAGTGTAAAATTTAAGAGGGAAACATGTATCAAAATTTACTAACAACTGATTGAAAAAATGGTTAAAATTAGTTTGAGCATCTTGTTGAGGCAATGTATTCCAATTAACTCCTGATATGTGTTGATAAAAAAGCGCTTTATTTTGTTTTGAAAATAATCTTTTTTTGTACTGTATTTTTTTGCAAAGTGCAGTATTTCTTGAAATTTCAATAAAAAGTGCCCTGTGATCCGAAACACCTAGTTCAAGGTTCATTTTAGATCTTATATTCTGGTTAAAAACAAAGTTGTCATTAGTTAAAATATTGTCAATGCATGAGCTTGTATTTATAGTTATTCTAGTTGGAGAACGAAAATTAATTGTAAAACCGTACATGCTGATTAAATTTAAAAACCAAATTTGAATTTTACAGATGTAAATGTCTTGATTATTAGGTGAATCACAATTGAAATTGGTATAAAAACCAACTCCCACCTGCGTATGTTAGTGTAAACAATTGGTAGTTACACCTACATCTTTTATGTTTCAATTTTGCATTTGTTCTTCAAGTTCATTAATCAGAAAACTTAAGTTGTTTGGTCAATTTTAATACTATTAATTTGACACCCTGGCAAACAAAATCAGATATAACATTTCAATTATTAGCGATATCTAATCATAATTTTTTATTTAATACGATTAATTGTTATATCAATCATCAATGTACATATTTTATTCTTTTTTAAATCTCATTAACACATTATCACTTTTCAAAATAAAATACCACTAAATATGATAGGCTATTAATTTAATTGATATATCTCCATGAATGGTGGTTCAAGGAATCTCACCCCTCAATTGGTACACCTCCTTATTTATTTATTTAGTTATCTAAGCGGATGTATTATAATCAATCGGGAATTGATGCTTTTAACATTTGGTTCACCTTTTTATATTAAAATATAGGAAAATAGTTAATGTACTTCAAAATTCATTTTTAGCTATATTACGAACAAACTCTGCAACTAGGATTGTACTAATTTTTTGTGTCATTTTTTTTGCTAATCAATATTGTTTGTTATGTCCTCGACTCGATACAATGTAACGTTTAATGTGACTATTTTTTTGTTAACAGCTTCTCCAGTTGTATGAAAGTCTGGGCATCGTTCTCACAGAGTGGAAACCGTTCCTATGGGGTGAGACGGCTGCGTCGTTCTACAGTGTACGCAGCACAATCGCGCCAGGACTGTGGAACAAACAGAACTTTTCTCAGCTGATGGATCTGTTCGAGGAACACAAAGTGAATACCACGATCGCCAACTTTCCTGTTCAGCGAGCTCTTAGGGTGAGTGTTTTTGTGTACTTTTTTACAGTGGGGTAATTTAATTTGATTAGGAAGGCTCAACAGAGCTAATTCTAAAACTGACCCAGTAATTTGCTCATATTTAAGACAGTGTGCTATACAATAAAAAAAAAATTAAATTAACAAAGATCAACTCATTATGCAAACACACAAACTCGTTGCTCATTTTGCTTTGGGTTCAAACTATTAAAAGGTGTACAAAAGGTTGATAGTACTTATAGACAATAACCAAACACTCACATCAGCTAATTAAGAATGGAATTATGAGTGTTTGTATTTTTTACTATGATTCTTTGTATACAAATCTGATTTTTTGTAGTACAAAATAAATATTATATTACTTACTTACTGCCATGGCCACTCGTACCAAATCTGGTACTTGGCCTCGCCATCACGTTGTCACCAGTTCTCTCAGTCCTCTGAATCTTCCTCTACTAGTCTCATTTTTTCCATATCTTTGCAGCCTTGATCCCACCACCTGGCCTTTGGTCTTCCTACTGGTCTCCTTCCCCTCAGATCTCGGTTAGTACCTACTTCAACAAGCTTTCTTCATTTCTTCATCCTCAAGATATGGCCAACCCACCTTAGCCTTCTGGTTGTGGCGAATCCTCTATACTCCACTGGACCATATATATATATAGTTCTTAGAACTTTATTCTAAAAGGTTATAATCTTCTTTTACGTATTTTTCCCAGGATCCAATTTTCCCCTCCATATAAAACTACTGGTCTAATGTATAACTATGTATAATCTTTTGTATTTCCATGATATAACATAATGCTGGTTGTAAATTTAATTAATTGTAATGTAAAAACTAATGTATAACCCCCCCCCCTCCCACAGCCCAGTGACAAGATGGAGGACCAGCCTGATGTGTATGACCCAGCCTTCTATCTGCCCATGTTGGTAGCAATGTTTGCCCCCAGTGAGGTGTTTTACACATACAAGACGTGCCAGAGTGGTTGTCTGTCTCTCGTGTTGGCAGCACTGTCTAGTCATCACGAGGATGTAAGGAGAGTTGCGTACGTTGCGTTGCAGCGATTCCACTGTCACCTTATCAGGTTTGAAGTTTTTTCTAGAAATGATTATGAATTTTGTAGTAAGTGGAAATTTTACTATTTGTGAGTATAAGGTTTTATGTGCTTTAGAATTTTTTCAGAAATAATTTTATGGGTATGGCAGATAATTTTTGACTATCCCCTCTTCAGTTATCCGACCTTTCGTGTTACAGGATACGGGAAGTAGGAGTATCCTGAAATAGCCTGTTACTTCCGTTTGATACTATGAGTGTACAACGCAGTGATATGTCAAAACCATAAAAACTTTGGAAAATTTTCAGTTTTGTAATTAAAATAGTATTGGTTCAATTAAGTTTTGACAGTGACTTTGGATACTGAAGTAGACATCCCATCTAAATGGAGTTGTCCCAAATTTCCATTTAAAAAGAACATAGTAATGTGAGCCAGTCACAGAATTCATTACTGTCTAAAATTATATTTTCTAATTTATTTTTGTCTCTGAGATAGTTGACGTGATGTAAAAAATGCTATAGCTTACAGTATCCTAAGTCATTACATCGGTTTGGTTAAAAAGTCTGTATAGTCAACAGAAATTAGTAATTATGAGATGATAAAATCAAAATTGAAAAAGTTTGTAGTTAAGAGACAGACTCAAAGCCATAGCTTTGACAAGAAATAGATTTTACTAACTCCATAATATGTACATGCTTTATGTTCTTAAATTCTCTGTGACAACCTTATGGCTGATTAATCCTTTCTGTAGCCAATTTAGGAAGGATGGTAGATTTGAGACTCTACTTCAATCCACACCCACTATAAATAAGATTATTGAGTAATTTAGTATGCTGCTTTGAAGGAAATTGTTTTTCTCCGACTTTATAAACCACTTTGAAATACTTGTTTCTTTTTTGTCCAAAGACACTAGGCACGAGCCTTGGATTGTTTTTCACATTACTTCAGGCTAGACCTAGGGGTTGCGCAGGGTTGCCACCAGCCATGAAAACCTTGAAAAGCTTGAATTATGCATGAATTCTTGTGACCATGAAAAAGGCATGGATTATGCATGGATTTCTCCAATGGACCATGAATTTTCAAAATCAGGAACAATTATTCAACCAGTACCATTATATTTTCCAAATTACAAATATTTCATTTTTTTAAACAGTTTATAGAAACGAACATGAAAATACTGTGTGAAGATGTTTGAACATTACATGTTCAATTCTATTTCTAGCAAATTTTCTATAGCCTGCAAAAACAATGTAGGCTAGCATTTTTAAGTTTTGAATTTGCTAAGAGGTAAAAATGCTACCTCAGCTTAAACCCTAGGCCTAGGACTACTTAACGTGCAACTACTTTACTCGACTCGATACTCGAGTAATTTACTCAAATTACTCGACTCGACTCCAATTGAAAAATCACTTCTCGCCCACCCCTAGTGGAGATGATTATTTAACATGTTCCACGATCAGAAACAATTGCTTAGTTCATTCCAAGTCATCCAAAGATGCTGATGTCAGCTGAGATTCCCGAGGACTGTATATGGTTTGAAAAATCATTATTAGGCCTAGGTACGAAGAAGGGGACTTAAATCACAAAAATAGAAGTTTTAGACCTTGCACAGAATTGAAACGGGGTGCACAATAAAACCGAATTTCCGACTCTGACGCCTGATTTTTTTAGCTTTTTGGATAAAACCATCGTATCTTAGTACGTTGTGTTATAAGATAAACCAGAATGCACATTTTATGACAATTATGTAGGGGGATAAAACAGAACTTTTTTTGGTGAGTGGCATTTTTGTTTTATTCCATTGGAAAGACTGAATTAGACGTAGACTTATTATATTTTACAATTCTTCTCCAATATCTCATATAGAATAGCTGGACCTGTTTTGTTTTCAACTTTAATTTCAATGTTTATAAATCACTCTAAAAAAGCGGTATATTAAGTATGAAAGGTTATTCAAAAGTAACTGCCCCTTTAACGTCAGTTTATGAAATCAGCAAAACTCAATTGTGTTGAAACTGTATAAGCGCATCGACCATGATTTTTTTTTTAACTACCAATGAAAACCATGAATTCTGCATGAATTTTATCATCCCACTATGGTGGCAACCCTGTTGCGGCATTATCACTTAGATAAAATCCATTGGTGATTTGACGGGATTTGAACCCAGGGCCTCGGGGACTGTAGTCCCTCGCTCTAACCACTAGACTAGCTCGCTTCCCCACTTTGAAATACTATATCTAATATTGATCTTATTCAACCCTGTCTTCTTTGCAGCAACACCAACAACCAAGACAGTTTGTGGCTGCACTTCCTAGACGCAGTGCGGCGGGGCCTGAGTGATAGTGGTGGGGGTGTTCCCCGCATCACCTCTGTAGTGGCTGTGTTCCTGTGTCGCTGTGTGTTGGCGCTCACTGCCCCCACCCACCCTCTGTATCTACCCCTGGCGCAGTATCTGCTAGCCAAGCCCCGCCTCGACCTACACACTGCGCCGGAACTTCTCCCACTGTTTAACAGCTTCAGTGTACAATACCACAGGTCTGTCACTTAATGTTGTATAGATTCCATTGGTTAACGACCAAGTTTTTGGTCTTTCAATACAGTATTTGTTTTACAATTTAAAGGAAAGCCAAGTAAAATGGATGGTTGAGAGTTTGTTGCAATAGTGATTCAGTTTCAGTTCAGCTAGCCTACCTGAGAAAATGAGTCCAAAGGCTGATGTATCAGTCAAGGTCGCAAAACGTAACAATAAAATTTGGTCCAAGTAGGACTTCTTTAGTAGATTGAAGAGAAATGCGAGTTAAAGCTCAAAATTGAAATAATTAGATTTATTTGATTCAACCACTTTGATTATCAAATATTGTATTAAGAAATCAGTAGTTGACAACAGAACGTTATTTTTAGACAAAATATAGTTTCTAGATTGAAGCACAATACTTATTTTATGCTTTTATACTTTTCTTTGAAATGGCGACCATACAAAGTAGGTATTTTAAGCCAAGTATGAATGGAGATGAGTGTATGATGAGTGGCGCTATCTTGTAGTCTTGTTAGTGACTAAGGCCGACATATTGACACAGCTGTTAATTAATAAGCCCATACAGCTAATGGCGACTAAGGGACCTACAGTTTATAGTGGAATCCGAACCACTTTTTTTCCCTTGGTATATACGAATTGGTCTAATTATCAGGATAGTACTGCGGATAGTCGTAGTACTCACCCGTGCGGATGTTAATCCACACCAGGGAGTACCGCATCCACAGTGCATTCCTATAAATATCCACAATTCGTGACCTAGTAGCTGGATTACAGGACATACAATACAGTATACATATACTAATATAATATGACACAGGTAAAATTTTCGTTATGGTAGATTACTTAAAATGTTGAAATACCGATAGCTGTATCAAAATACTTCTTCTATCAAAAATTCCAGTAAATTGAGGCTTAAAAGATCTTTTAATATGTGTCAGGCTATTTTTCTAACAATACAGTATACTGTCTCAGCTGATTGGCAGCAAACTCTTGTAAGCGTGTAGGAACTCAGTCTCAGTGTAAATAATAATTCCTTAACACATTAAGTGCGTTGGGTGGTAAACGTTGTCCGCCTCCTATAACAACCTTGCTTCAGTGTGAGCTAAGCCTCTCACTGGGAATGATACGTCCAATTGTAACTTATTGTGCCAGTTTTATACTTCAATCCAGTACAATTCGCTTTCAGATACGACTATTTTATCGATGGAGGGTTCTTGTGAAACTACGTCCACAACGACTGAAACACAGTACATGCCATAATTCACCTCTCCTATTGGATAAAACTAAACTTAAACATTTTTGGGTACTCATCCATGCAGCGCATTGGCTGCTCCAACTCCCAGATATCGCGCAACCACAGCAAACATGTTAAATCTGTGCTTCATTATTAAATGTGTCAGATTACTGGGACTGTGTTTTTAAAATTATTATTACTAGTGTACATGTTGCTCGAAATCGAGCAATTGCAAAGAAGTACAGGAGTTATTTATAAACAAATTACTTGTTTAAAAACTAATAACAGTCATAATTTCCAATGATTTTAAAAGAGTCAACTAAAAGATTATTAACCAATGGAAATACTCACAATTCACAGTCCTATTCCAGTTTAAAGGGTGAATTTTTAACAATCAAACTGCCCATGGGCGGGAAAAGGTAAGCTTACAATTTAAGTCAACGTAAAAAGGCTGGCAGCTTTTATAAAGTACCGTACCTAAGTTATTTAGCCAATTCGTAGACAATAAGGTGTAGGCTACTTTAAACTCTACAGGACAGAGTTAGGCAAAAACTGGCAGAACTCTGAAATGGTGTTATTTTTGTCATAGGCTTACACATATGCCAAATCCTTAAAATAAAAATTTAATAACTAATAACTTATATCATTAAACACAAACGACCATCAAAAACTATACACATTTGTAATACAACATAGATAATTTACGCATTGACTGTTTACAATTAACATATGTTCTTCTAACTATTAATTTTTGCTTCGCAACGGGAAAAATCTGTTTCACAATCATTGAAATAGATTTATAATAAATAATCTTTCATAAAGTTTAAGATTAAATAAACCTACCACATAGTTGTTTTATTTTTTTTATCAGCTGTCTGAAATTGTGAAATAGGCATCTGACAGTTCTGGTTGTTTACATTTAAATGTCAAAGCAAATGTAAACATTGTGAATTGTATCATGCTTCCATGGAGACCAATTATGAATATTTAATTTCTGACAACAGCTGGAGTTTCAAAACAATTTTTGTTTCCCATGTTAATCTTATGGAGAAATACGAAACTTTAACCCTAGCAGTGGCCAATGTTAGAAGTGGGGAATGGCCAACCCATTTTGGTGATTTTGCAGATCTTTTTTTGAAAATTCGTAAAAATTCAACCGTACAAGTAAACCTAGCCAACCTCATATTCATTTTGTTCGGAAAGAACAGGAGAATCTAGAAATAGTAATATCATAATGATTTAGATAGTGTATTTTATCGGTAAAGTGAAAAAAATAAAAAAAAAATTGAATTTTTTTTTTGAAATTTCAAAAGCGGCCTTGGTATTTTTTTTCTACGGATTTTTTTATGGGAAATTCATTATATACATTTTGTAGACAATCTAATTCCCTACATAGAAATATATAACATGTTAGGAAAATATTTTTTTTTATAAGTTTTTGGGGCGAAATATAATGACAAACGGAGAACCGAAAAAAATGAAAACCGTACAGTGTTAGTTTATGTTGTAAAAAGTTCTATAATATATGTGTATACTAATAATGATATATACATGTTTGTAAAGCTAATGAAGTAAGGAATCAAAAAAAGTCATAAGGTTTATGGTAAGAATAACTTTTTACCTATAAACATACGTATATAAAATAATGTTGTTATATTTTAGCAATTTCTCGAGAAAAAAAATTCACAGTACTTAGTATACAACTTTTGTACCAAATTTTTTTACTTCAAACCAACATAATAATCTTGTAGTGTATTCAATTACCTACATAAAAATGTATAACATGTTAGAAATATTTTTTTTGTAGGTACGTAAGAGGGACATAATAATACAATAACCGCAAAACCGCAAATAAGTGTAAACTATAGCCTACAGTGTTTGCTTGTGTTGTGAAACATTATGTAGGCTGATGATATGTAGCCTACATATTTGTAAAGCTAATGAAATAAGGAATCCAAAAAAGTCATAAGTATGATGTAAAAAGTTATTTTCACGTATGATTATGTATCAATTTGAGAACGTTTTGAATTTTTTGCACATTCCGAGAAAATGGAGTGTACAGTATTTAGTAGGCCTAGCCTATATAATTTTTTTACCAAATTTTTTACACCCAAACCAATATAAACATGTTGTAGTGTATTCATTTACCTTTATAAAAATGTATAACACCTTGGGTAAATCATTATATAGCATATATAGCACCTCTAAATGTCAGAATTGCCATTTTTGGACATGATGCTAACAAAATACAGTAGTAGGCCTATTTAGTATAGGCTATAACTTTTTTACAAAATTGTTTACCCCCAAACCATTATAAACATGTTGTAGTGTATTCATTTACCTTTAGGCCTATAAAAATGTATAACACCTTGGGTATATCATTATATAGGTACAACAATCTCTGAATGTCAGAATCATCATTTTAGGACATGATGCTAACATAATACAACCTTTTATGAACACTATTTCACACAATTCAGTAATATTTATGCATGAAGATTACTGTTATACACACACACAACACTTCACTAACACTAACACTACGAACTAATAACATATTTAGTAATAATTCGCGGATAAAACTATTGCCGACAACAACACAAACAAATAATGGCAATACAAGACAGCTGACAGACTGTAGCAGTAATGACTCACTTCCATCGTCTACATGCGAGCATACAGAAATAACCCTGAGTGCAGGGCTGCCACTCTCTGAATCTAAATTTCTTCCTCTTCAAAATGATATACTATATGACTAGTAATAATAAATTACACTGTATGTAATTCGTATTTTCCACATCGTCATCTGGAGTCGATTGGCCATTTGTTAAAAATGTCGAAAACAGCTGTTTTCATAAAATCGTACCGGTTGTGCAATCAATATTTCGTTATAAATATTACTACCACAATGAAGATAAAATCAATGGCTATCCGGTGGTACCACTCGCAACATCCCACGACTAAAATTACCCGAGCAGGGTAATGCCAAACAAGACGTGTTTTGCCAGTTCCCAAGTGTCGGCTGCAAAAGTCGTGCCGCGTCGAAAATTCATTTGATTTCTAATCGTCGTGACATTGTTATATACCCGCTACAGAGTTTGTTTATGTAATAAAATGAAAGTTCAGAATGTGATCTTTCGAATGGTATATATATTATTCTCATCTGAGTTGATTGTAAGTGTTTTTTTTACCGCTAAAAAATTTTCGGCCCAGATCGTCACAAGGAGTCGTTGGCCATTCTAAGCATCAACGTCAGATCGTCACAAGGAGTCGATCGGCCACTGCTAGGGTTTTAAAGGTCGCCATGGTCTCACTCTCTAATTATTCCCCTAAAAAGAATGTTTCCTGCACAACTTCACGTTACGCTCTTTCCAATGACACCAAAAACATGTCAATCGGTTCAGTAGTTTCGGAGGAGTAATTGTCACAAAAATCCTGCTTGCGTATTAAATAAGTATAAAGATTCTTTCTTTCTTTTTAAATAATTTAAACAATAAGCATTCTGTTCACAGTATTCACCAAGACTGGATCTTGAGTGTGTTGAGAGATGGTATGAAGGATGAGGAGGACTTTAACATTTCTCTCAATAGTATGGCCTTCAAAATAACTCTGGATTACTTCTCCTCGACCCTAGCCTCCGATACAGCTAAGGTAAATAGCATCACTACTGCTAAGCCATCTGTCATTTTAACTGTAATATTATAATGAATAGAAACGGCTTATGTGTTTCGGTGCATCTATTTGTTCATGGTAAACACAAAAAATACTAAACAAAATAGACTGAAATTTTACACATATGTAGATTATAAACACCTGGCCAACACTAGGCAGGAGAATTGTTTCAAGCTGACGTTTCAAGATAGATCTTTTCAATGTAAATATTGATTAGTCTTTTTGGCAATAACAATCCACAACATTTATGTTTGCTTTATTTACTAACTAAGACAATGGCAAAGATGATGATGATGATGACACATCAGCAAACACTGTTAACTATCCTTAACTAGACCCACTAACTTTTAGAACACACAACTATTACCAACTTACACCGTATCAACCTCAAATAAAAGGGAAATACTTTACATTTACAAAGTGTTTATTAAATTACCCTGGATGAGTAAATTGGCTATTTTTGGACAGTATCAAAGCTTTAATTCATTCTACACTCATTTTTATAAACTAACAATACATATTAAAATGCATCATAGCTCAATCAACGAATCAAACTTGGTGTTTTCAATTATAAATCTTATCTCAAAACATATTTTTCCAGACACAAATTCTTGAAGTCCTCGGGGCAGCCGTGAAGCTGAAGAACGGACGTAACCTCCTGGTGGACGGGTATGGTTTGTACCCGTGGCTCTCTAGTGTTGTGAAGGAACCAGGCTTACCAACTGTGTTGCTTTCTCCTCTGATATCCGTGTTGGCCAACCTGATTCACAAGTCTTCAGCTGCGCAGGTGGCACCACTGCTGGTACATGTGGCACGTCACAACACGCTAACTGAGTCACAGCTGGCGTGTGTGTTGGCAGCCCTGACTCCCCACCCTTTATCAGCTGATACTGTTGCACAGTTGGTAGACATTGTTGATAACACAGTTGGTCAAGTATTCCAACACAGGATCATGCTGGAACACGGTGTCAAATATGTTGAGAAGAGTTGTAATTTTAGTGACGTGAGAGGTTATTTGAAAGAGATTATTAGATTACATAAGTGTGAATCTTAATTGTAGAATCTGTTGACAACCCAACAAGTTTTCACTATTTTTGTGATAACACTTAGCCTTAAATATGTGAAACAGTTCTGGGTACTATTCTACTACAGTAGTGGCACTGATCTTAACCTTTGACTATTTAGACATTCCATCCCCATGTTCGTAGTTCGTAGTTGATGTGAGCCACCGACAGATTGCACTGATCTAGATTACTGAATTCTGTCGAATTCGCAAACTTTTCTACCAAGTCAAACTTAGGGAATGACTTATGGTGAGCTATAGCAACTGTTATGACCCATCAAACTGGTCAGCAACAAAAAAATAATATATATAATAGAATTTTAGACCCTAGCGCATTCTGTGATTGGCTCACACAACTAAGTTCTTTTTTACAAAAAATTGGCTACAGCTGGTCCATATAGATGGGATGTCTTCTTAACTTAATAATTCAAATTCCTAAAAATATAATCAATGTTAGGCAATACTATTTTTTAATACAATATTTGAATTTTGACAGTTTTTTGTCGCCATAACTCAGTTATGATATTTACTATTTGTATAGTGTAAATACTCTTGTACATTTTATAAATGTATTAATATTGATTAAAATGAAACCATTATTTGTCTTACATTCTTCTATATTTCAATCCTCTACAATTTATTTTTCCATAATTTACCCTCTTAGTGATTTTTGATGGTGTTTTAAATAGGTTTTGACTTCTCAAATCTAAAAACAAGTTTATAGTGTGGTATTTGTTACGTTTCAAAAGCAAATAGTTCAGTTTAAGCAAGCTTTGGAGTTGATAAGATTTTGTGCCAGTACTGCCAGTCGAGGATTGAGGAAGAGGCGATTGAGCTAACGTCCCAAGTTTTAGCTGCATAGTTGCCTTAAAGGCATATATTTAAAAATAAAATGAAGACAATGAGTAAAGCTCCACACTACACATGATCTGGCATATACTTTGGTAATATCACTCATTAAATATTATATTTTATAGAGATAGCTCATATCATATTAATTGTCCAACTCTAACCAAACAATCAAACACCTCTTCCCTCAATCCTCTTAACGCATGCAACACACTGTTTGTTTTGTGATGATTTACCTCGTACTTTCTTGTACGAACAAAGCTTTAGTACAACTGATCCGCTAGCCTCAGCAAACAAAGTTAGTGCACAGAGAAGTAAGGGACAGAGGAAACATCCAGAATGGCACACTTAAGTGGTTTCCAGCATTAGTGCTGGTGTCTAGGGCAAAGTCCAACCCCCCCCCTTGCCTTTTTGTTCTACAGTGGAGGAAGATTCTGGATTCTGTGCCCTGTGCGATATGAGTTTCCGCACAGTGCTTGCCGCTAGGACTCTTCCTTGCTTGTCACAACATACTTAAGCTTAACATATAAAATTAGTTTAGTTCACTGTGAAACTAGAAAGCCAGATGCTACACTGTTTACACATAGGTTCAGCTGGTGTGTTATACTTTGTTAACACATTATTCTATTCAACACAAACACAACAATGGGGGAGCAAGCTGGTCCAGTGGTTAGAGCACGGGACTTCAGTCCCTGAGGTCCCCAGGTTCTAATCCCGCCAAATCACCTATGAATTTTATTTAACGGATGTTGCCGCAACCCCTAAGTCTAGCCTGAAGTAATATGAAAATCAATCCCGGGCTCATGCCTAGCGTCCTAGGAAAAAAAACAAATCTACAATAACATGTTAGTGTTAGTAAGGGGTATTAACCTTTGTTTTAGATGTAAATAAAAAGGATTTGTTAATGTTGAGAGCCGGCAATACAGTTTTACTTAGTTATGAAATGAATATATAATAAGAAAACTTAAAAGGCTTTTAGCCGGAGTCCTAACAAAAACTCTACAGACATTATTTTAGTATGCATCTATCCTATGATGCAATAATGTAATCCCAACAAATAGCCAATGTAAGCTAGTTACAAGACCAAGGTAAGTTTTGGACGGTTTAATTTATTTTATGTATTCTACATTTCTATTTGCTACTCCCTGAAGATGCCAGACACTTGGCAAAATATTGGAGAAAACAACAAACCTGCTTTTTTAAATTTTTTAATGGACACTGACATATTTTACGAATTGCAAGGTAGATGGGGCAAAAATTGTGTATGGAAAGGAATATCAAAATATCCAATTTATCTCAACAATTTTGTTGATGCAAACAGATCGCTGTGAGTGATATATCGTAGCAGTAAATGGGGCTTTAGACTACCAAACCATTGATTGCACACCATCAAAGTTTACAACAGCCAATTTTTACTCCCTAAGAACTAAAAGGGCCTTTTAAAAGAGCTACTTTTCAACCCCAACGCATGTATTAATAGGCTGTTTTCCTCCAGTATGAGGAATAAATATATTTTTTTCTGGTTTGTTTTGTAAAACCATAACGGTAGCAACGAGGTATTAAAAAACACGGTATTGGATGAAAAGGATGCACACTGTCATGATTTCAGACAATGTCCTACTCAAAACACAGTACTCTGGAGTTACACTTTACCTCCGCTAGAATGTGTGCGGTGTCATAATCGCTGAAATAGTGTTTGTGCTTCGTGCTTGTACAGTACATGTAGACTTGAGACTTGTAGACCTTGCTATCTCTGGGGTGACATGACTACCTAATAAAACTCGGCCGGATTCCAGGAATAAGCCTTGAAACGGTTTATGTCTTCATCTTCTCCCATCGTGGTTCACTGTTTAGTTTCGTTCTGTATTCCAACATACGAATTATCGTTTGTTTGAGTCTTACTGTTCTTTTCTCCATCGGAAAATAAGAAAGAAAAATGGAGAAACGTATAAGTTTGTTTTGTCATACCACAGACAATAGACCATCTCACAGTACTTTTAATTTGGATTGCCTAAAAAAACACTATTGGTCTACTTTTCTATGTTTACTACGGATCCAGTTTCCTTCAATTTGTGCATATCAATAAAGTTGATTTATTAGGTAATGGAATTGTACCTGGTACCTGGAAACTTAATTTCAAAGCTTTCTTGTCATAAAACCAATAATTTATTTTTAACGTGTTCTCACTTTTTGAGCTTGGTGATACACCTTTTTGAGTCGTATTTAGAATGAATTCCCAATCATTATACTAAACCGCATGGATAGATGTGCAACAGTAATAATAGAGGTCGATGGCAACAATACATTATCAGCTGATCGGCAATGAAGTAAATAAATAATGAATACAATAATATTAGCTGGTTTTGTCATTAAATTGTGTCTCACAGTACTTTGATTTGGGTTGTGTTAAAAAATAAAACAACCCGTATTATTAGGTTATACAGGGTTAGGTCCAAATTTACTGTAATAACAAGAAATAAGTAGTAACCGCACTTTACATTCCGGACAGAAGACAGAAACGTACCTTTAAATCGCCTAAACCAGGCTAATGATTACAGTATTTGGGTCAAAACTAAGGAATCAAATATTAAATCTATCTATATATATAATACGTGAAGCCGTTTTTTGTTAACGCAACTCCTCCCTTATTTGTGGAGCAATTTCAACTTTTAAGGTGTCAAAAGATTCGTCTCAATATGTAGTTTTGCAATAAGGTTTTAGAATTTTAAAATTCTTACTCTTAAGGGCGTGAGATCCTCTCAAAGGTTGGGTTTTCCCCATAAGAAATACATAGAACAAATTTAAAAACAAAAACAGCTGTTTATAAAAAGAAACTCATATAGCTTTTTGGGAGTAAATATTAATGTTTGTGATATTTGATAGGTTAAGACGAAGTTAAACAGTTAATCAGTTCGGTTTGAAGAACAGAAAATGCCTCAAGTTCAAAAAAGAAATATTGAAAACGGGAGGAGGAGACAATTAATAATAAGATATCTCATGTGCATGAGGAGAGTAGAAAAAGAGAGGCCTGGTCTAACAGATACACATTCACTTAGTGAGATGAATAATATTTGCCAGTTCTGCTATGCAACTTACTTTGGAAGTGTAAAAATATACGAAGCTGTGTTGTCACGGTGGTAAAGTAAACTTGCCTAATTTTAGATCAAATGAATGCATGTAAGAAATGTTTACTTCTGACACTGACAGATCGAGATATTTCAAAAAATATGGTAGAAACTATAATAATGCCTTGACTAAGTTCAAGTAGTAAGATTATACAAAATCTTGGCGGACCTTATGTTATTGATGTAAACTTTTGTATTACTCGCTCTACTTAAATTGAGAAAACCCCCAAATGGATTGTTTAATTCTAGGTTATGTTGCCAGTTCCTGGGACAAACTTATACAAAGTTTTTTGACTGAATTCACCGACACAATGCAAACATTTCAAGTCAAAAATAAAAAGTTAAAAAAAACTCATTTGCTATTGAAAGTTTTAGTGGCAATATTAGACCAAACTAAGTTAAGGTATTTGTGTTTACGTATCCAACTATCGAGTAGTTACGGCCAAGTTTATTTTTATGATTCAGGAGAGGCAAATAATGTTTGCTGTTCAAAAAGAGAAAATGAAAATTGCTATCCAAATTTCATAGCTACAAGAGTTATCCAACCTATTTTGACATATAAATCCATATTTTCAAAACGTTGGGACAGGTATTAAAGGAGGAATTCCACTGAGCAACGTGAGAACGTTCTAATGCGGGGCATATACTGTGACTGACAGACAACACGTTAAATTACGTTAACCAGCTTTCAATGAGGTTGCTGCTTTAGCATATTCAACGCAGATTATGTTTGTAACCCAGAGTTTGTAGGTAAAAAATTAAGCACTTGAAATGGTTGATATTACCCCACTTTTCAGCATTCTCTACGGAGAAAAATTCGTTTGATTATGGGGGTGTCTCAAATCAAAGAAATAAAATGGCCCAACTTAAATTACTTAACCCAGGTTATCAGTAAGGCAACAATTTTCTTCAATTCTCAAAGCTGGAAAAACTTTGTTGCAACATGTTAACTCGAATCAAAGCAGATCGTTTAGCATTCATTAGAAGTTTTTAGTTAAAACTGAGAGCAGAAATAATGTAGGTGAACCTTGACGACGCAAATAGAGATATTTAAAATAGTTTCTAACAAGTGTTTAAAACTCTAAGATGTAACTAGAATTACTCGAATTTAAGAATAACGTTTTACTCGGCGTTATGTTTCATATTATGCGGCTCATTGAGCCGCACGGGGTCTCTAGTCTATATATATAATACATGAAGCCGTTTTTTGTTAACGCAACTCCTCCCTTATTTGTGGACCAATTTCAACGTTTAAGGTGTCAAATGATTCGTCTCAATATGTAGTTTTGCAATAAGGTTTTAGAAGTTTAAAATTCCTACTCTGAAGAGCGTGAGACCCTCTCAAAGGTCGGGTTTTCCCCATAAGAAATACATAGGAGAAATTTAAAAACCAAAAACAGCTGTTTATAAAAAGAAACTCATTAGCTTTTTGGGAGTAAATATTAATGTTTGTAATATTCAGTAGGTTAAGACCAAGTTAAACCGGTAATCAGTTTTGTAGGAAGAACAGAAAATGCCTCAAGTTCAAAGAAGAAATATTGAAAACGTGAGTAGGAGACAATTAATAGTAAGATATCTTATGCGTATGAGGAGAGTAGAAATAGAGAGGCCTCTAACAGACAACCATCCAGATA